TGCAGACAAAGAATGAAGAGTAGGTTTGGGGGGCAACATCTTGAAAAAGCATAACTCAATTCAAATTGGGAATACGTAGAACAAGGAAAATGTGACTAGGATCCAAAAAGGACAATTGCATCATAAAAGAAGTGAGTAATTATATGATCCTCTTATGTAATCATTATTCATTTACCTAATTTCCTTGAAACAAGGTGTAACATTGAAGTCTTCAAAGAAAAATAGGAGCACGACAGCTTAAAATTATCCTTTTCTATTTCTTTTTTCTCCTCCAAAGGAAGCATCATCTGGCATGAATTTCCCTCCTTTCTGCACAACTGATACCAACCCTGTAATACTAGGAGAATCTCATTCACCCAACTTGTAGTATGGTGAGATGCTCCTTCATCAGAGCCACTTCACAACACTCCACTGCGATGAATACTATTGCACATTACAAGTCAGACATTAACAGCTTCCACCATGTTTTTTCCTGTTTGAAACAGGAGAGGTCTAGAGTCAATATTAGATGGTCTTGGTTGCATAACCAGGACAAGTAAACACATTTGAAATTGTTGTTGGGTCAGCTAGAATGGGGATGGGCAAGGAAAAACAAAAGAGACAAAAAACACATAACACAACCAAAAAAAAAAAAATTACAGCACAGGACAAGCATTCTGAAAAAGTTTCATTACTTTCCCTAAATACCCCTGAAGCATTTAATATAAAAGCTAGACAACCAGCTGAGACTGCACCTTCAGTTACAGTTGATGTAAAGTAAATGAGCAGTATTCTCTCCATGATTTTACTTGCTTTTCATTTGCCTAAAAACTCATAAAAACAGCTCCAGAATAAATAAACTTCCTGAGCTCTGACCCAGACTCCTTTTGGAAAACATGTAGGAACAGTTTCCCCTGTAGCCATGGACCTAGGATGCTGGTGCTCTCTCCTGGTTGTATTCTTCAAGACCAGAGTGAGAATATAAGTGTGTTGTTATTTTTACCACAAGCTTACTATTTTGCTCTTGGTTGGACACTGTGAAAAGCAGCTCAAGTTATATTCTTGTCTGGTTGAATTTTATGTGCTTCTTCATTAAATAAAGATAACAATACATTATGTTAGTGTGATATACTGTTCCTGTGCAAATGGGATTTGGGATGAACCTACTTCCACCACCTCAACACCTTTCATCCATTAATAGGAGTAAGAACAATACTGAGGTAATCTGTGCTGTTGTTGCTCATCCGCAGTCTCAACACAGGCATTTTCTGTTCCACCATCCATTTTAATTCCCAGATACTTCTTTATAGAAGTATATATATGAAGTATATATATGAGATATGAAGAAAAAGAAAAAAGACAGTTACAAGATACATGTCATACTCCAGTTTCAGCCTAGGAAAGGTTAGGACTTGTTCAGTGTAGGCAACTCACTGATTAGTACCAAAGGACTAATCTGCCGATGCCTGATGAATAATATTGTCATCTCTGAGGCTCATCTCCAATTTTTTAAGTCGTTATGCATCAGTTTCCATGAGATATGAAGAAAAAGAAAAAAGTCAGTTACAAGATACATGTCATACTCCAGTTTCAGCCTAGGAAAAGTTAGGACTTGTTCAGTGTAGGCAACTCACTGATTAGTACCAAAGGACTAATCTGCCGATGCCTGATGAATAATATTGTCATCTCTGAGGCTCATCTCCAATTTTTTAAGTCGTTATGCATCAGAACACAAAACAATAAACAAACAGAAAAGCAGTTTGACTGCAAATGGAGGGAGAAAACCCATTTCTTGATAGAACTTAATGCTTTATCATAAGCTGGTTTTGCCAGTGCTGTGCTGCAGCGATGCTCCCCATGCCCAAGTTGAAACAGTATGAACATATCAACGACAAGGACTGAGGACTCCAATGTGGCTTAGCTAGGTATTCGCTGTAAAAGACATCCTGGGCATATTGCTAATAAAGGCAGCAGCAAGCATGAGTCCTTAGACTAGATGCCCTCCTAGTTTGGCTGTTTGCTCACACTGACTTTGTTTTGTACTGCTCCAATAATCTCTCTCCAGGAGATGTGCTTAGAACTGAGTTAGCCTGAGCACCATGGAAACAGGCCAGGTGGTGGCATCTGGCCAGGAACCAGCCCTTGCTTGGCCCACTGTTATTATTCAGACCGGTGCAGCTCAGCTGCACAAGCACAGAACAGAGCCCCGGGAGGCAGCGCCATGAGTGCGACACCCTTGTTGGGGTTATGGACGAGTCTGCCTGATCTTTCTTGCCTTGGCTTAATTTGCACAAAAAATAATTTGATGAGGATAGGCATCAAGTTTAGAATTACCGGAATCACACACAAAGCGTCTACTACTTTCTGTGGACTGTTTTGGACATTTGTTTGTGCTAATTCTCTTACCTGTTTGCACTGCTGTCATTTACATTCAGAAAAATCCCAAACACAGTATGCAAGAGTCAGGACTGGCTGGTATCAGAAACTCACTGCAAAGGCTTTCCAAGTTAACATTTATTTCTATCTCTGCAGAAGCATCAGGAAGTTGACTTACGCATTGCCAGGGATGTTCACTATAGGCACCTCAACATACAAATTCCATATTTTTGATATGAAGTATATACAGTCTGAGCAAGCAAGTATGTGGTAACATGAATATGGGAAAGGAGCTACAAAATACAGACAAGGACTAAAAACAAAATAAATCAATAAAACAGTGAGGCTGTTTTGTCTAATGCAGTGGGAAAATATGTGCGTTTCCCATAATCAGCAGAGTACCTAATAAAGTTTGTAAGAATGACTCCACTCTGCAGGGCGCTAGGACATGTGAGAGAGCTAGGAGATGGATGTGTACCTCCTCCAGTTTATGTCTGCATAGTACAGATTGCACAGCTCATATATAACCAGATGATCCTGTTCTAGGACAGCAGGTGCTGAAGAAAACTGCAAACTAAAAAGCTTCATTCCAGGAAGCAAACACTGATGTTGCAGCTTGTTTCTCAGCTTTAAACAGCCCCACAATCTGCTTGAAGGTCACTGGCAAAATAAACACCAACCTCGGTCATCAGAGCTGATTCTAGTCATTTATAAAATCAACAAGTAGATACACACACACACAGACTAGTCAAGCACATTGTCAGTTTCCCAGCAAGGCAGACACTCTTTGGTCACAAATTAGCAGCTTTACTGTGTTACCTATAGTTAAATCCTTCTCCCCAGTCACCACTCAGACATCCTTAATGCACTCTAGGGGTGGGGTGGGAGGAAGACTCTGGTTATCAAAACAGTACTTTCCCACAGATCGTTGCTTTGGGTTCTGCTTGTCCTGTTTCAGAGATTATAGTTTTTAAAATACACTCAGACAGCTTTGAGACTCAGTTAGGTTCAGTGTGGTGCTTCAGTACTCCCTGTGTTTAATCTGAAACACCCTGAGGAGGCAGATACTTATGAGCCTGTTCAATTTAGTCTATTGTTTCCTTATAAAACAAGTAATCAGAAAATCAACCACTGCCCCTTGCAACTAGAAGCTGCTGGGTTTAACCTCAGTATTGAGCAACATACTCTAAAGCTGTCTGCATGTGTAAGCAAGGCTGGCACCTTTATGATGGCCATCCACAAGCCATGAAATTCAGTGCACCAATACATTTGAAGATATTAAACCCCCACCATAAAATGTTTGCCAGAGACAAACATTGGATATTTTTTCACACCTGATAGTATCAATAAACAAGAAGTAAACACATCATTTTGACTAGGAAGTTTGTGTTGTTTTTCAAGCAAGAGACCAAAAATTGCAGAGGCTGGTTGAAAGTGAGCACTCTTCTGTTAAAGGATATTTACACTGGGGGCGGGGGGAATAATTTTTATGGTTACCTTCCTCTATTCTGAGAGAACAGAAGGGGAAGCCTTGCTAGAAATATTCACTAGCCTGGAATGGGGAAAGGAGGGAAGGAAGGAAAGTCTTATGCACATCACGGAAAGCGAAACACCTGGAGCTGGGAAAGCTTCATGACACTTGTATAATCAGCTTTCTAATTAAAACAAGAGACTTTACCTTCTACTTAATCTAACTGCAGAACAGTGCTTCTGCTGACTTGCATGTTAATGTGAGGTTTTAAGTATATTTTTGTTTGGAAATCTAATACCTGTACAGATTACTCTCCCTCTTCAAGAGTACACAAAATCCAGGGCTTACCCTCCTACAGCAAGAACAGCACAGACAGACTTTTCCTTCCTTTCTCCCAAGAGCAAAGTTTCTTTTGAAACTGCAGGGCACTACCCACATTCAATAGTGCTGTGGGGGCACAGGGTGTCATCTCAGATAGCTGTGCTATAAGACTATTAAATACAACAAGTATGATACAGCAGTAGCTATCCAGTTTAAGTCCACCCTTCCATGGCTTGACAAATCCTCAGCATCCTCAGATGCTTTATTACAGCTTTTATCATTGCTCTCCCCCAGCCTGTCCTCAAGTATTTCTGGCTGCCTTAGGAGGCATCCTTAGGAGAGCCTTAGGAACATCTTAGTCGGCTTTCTCATTCCACTCCCTTCTGCAAGAGGATCTCCCGTATTTATCTTTATAAAAGTGAGTTCAACTTCCATTTTTACAGACCACATCAGTGTTCAGAGTTCACTGCTGTGGTGCTTTTGCTGTGACATGGTAAATGAGTTTCAGAGGAAAACATCCTTTGATTGCTGCATGATCTTGCCTCATAGAAGAGCAAGAGACCAATAAGGCTACAGTCAGCCACCCATGCCTTGGGATGAGAGTGGGGTTCAAACCAATGCAACCTGACACTTAATTCTTTCCAAACTAACCTAAAGCCTCTGCTCAGGAATCTCATAAAAATCCTTTTCACTCTCTATTCTTGTGAATATTAACTAGTCAGAAGATTCACATAGGAACAGTGTAATAAGACATTTATTAAAAGTGCTGTCAGTTACTATTAAGACTTAAAATCTAATATTCTTTTTAAAAGGCATCTAGTTAAAAGAAAAAGAAAAAAAAAGCTATCTAAAAAACTTTCTTAACACCATGGTTAGACACATGACCTGCAGTGCTCTATGAAATGTTAGACCAGCTATGTTGATTCGGAGGGAATAGTTCAAGTCCAAGATCCACCATCTTCATTGCAGAGGAAGAACTGCTGGAGGCTCTAAAAGAGACACCTGCAGGTACCTGAAATAGAAACAAAGTCACCAAGAATACAATTTGTCTGGCAAATACAAATATCCTGCCTACATTTTTGAGCAATGCACAATGTGGAAGAGAGAAGTCTCATCCTTCAAAATTGCAAAGGGACTATAATCCAGTACACCTGCACACCTATAGATATAGCAGAATCTACTGTTCTGGTAGGAAAGTTTCTCCTCTCAAGAGGCTGAGAGGTACCTCTTTAGCATTAGCTTCTGTTCTTGAAGCTGACCACTATGAGAAGTTTGGCAGCTACAGAACCTGTGTGCAAGCTGCTGAGACCTGACTAATCCAGAGTCTTCTTGTGCCCATGACCTCTAAGTTATATGACATTAGCATCCCAGTTACTTACTTTGAGAGCTTGTACTTTTCCTTAATTGCTTGCAGTTGGCAACGGGGAGCATCAAGGCATGCTTTATGTAGGTCAGTCAGGCAAGGCACTATCTCACTTAGTGAATACCCAGTAAACGCAGCAAGTGATTCCGGCTGGTCAGAGGAGAAAGGCCAGAGTTATTTGTTTCTGGCAACATTCAGCTAGGAGATACATTTCCTACAGAAGAAGGAAGGATCTTGGCTACATCCCTTCTCACTTCAGATTCCTTGTTTAGAGCTTGAAAGGATTAAAAAGTATCTGCTATCAGCGTCACTCAAGGTCTTTGGTGATGAGAAGTATGACCAGAAGCTCCTACTCCTCTAAACAAAGGAGAGTTTGTTGCATATATCACCTTGCTTCTGGTCTCTGCTCCCTGCTAAAACTATTCCTCCAGCACAGAGCTGACATGACTACCAAAGAGTGCACTCATTCACTCGTTCAAATAGTCCAATAAATTCAGAAACAACCACCTCTCCTAGGATTTGGGGCTTTGCAATACATACCTCCAACGTATTCTGTCTACATCTCAGCCTAGTTCTAATGGCAGTATGAAATGCTTGACTTTCATTAGCATGCAGGTGTTCTTACCCAGAACCGCCTGTTCACTGTATAGTTTGCTAGACAGTAGGCTGCTGCAGCAGTTTGTGAAGGAAGGTACTTCAGAAATGGATCAGCTTCAAGGAGACTCAGTTCTGCAAGATACTGAACAAAATAATAACAAAAAAGATGTTTTTCAAACAAGATAGGTCAATATATGCGCATTTAAACTGGTGGTTGATGTTTTCAGTTTCATGCAAAAAAAACTTGTATTACATATTTGGTGGGAACTAGTAGTAGTCATGAATTTGAAGTGGATTTCCATTCTTGTTGATTTGATCATAGAAATACTTCCAGTCTGTTTCAGAAGCAAC